AAGAGCCATAACATACACTCATTTCCCCCTTCGCCCTCCACCCAAGAAAATGGGCAGCATATTGCTAACTTGATTGACGATGTATTTGTGGATAGCAGACATAAAAGTAATCGTAGACATAAAAAAACACCTAACTAATCATCGATGTTACACAAATGTCTATTTGTGCACTGTGTATAAGCACAATTTTTTTGGAAACACTTTGGTAATTAAGTTTCTACGTTTCTGAATAGCAAACAGTCTCAACACAAAAATAAGCAAAACTGTTGGCATCTGTCACGTTACGAGTCTCTTCCTTCTTGTGTATTGCATTCTACCTGAAACAAGTACGTCAAAAAATTCTGTTCAAGAATGTCAACTTCATCTGGAGATAAGTTCTGCTGATCCAATTTCTGCGCCCCATACACAGGATCAAAGAGGGAGTACAATTGCTGCATGCACATAAACATAATTACTGAAGAATTAGAAAGAGGGAGGGAAAATCAGCTTTCTCCTAGAAGGAATTTAGATTTCCATCCAATGAATCGGGAAACTTTACCATGAGATCCTCAAATTGTAAAAGATACCAAGCTCGAATTGTGTACTCAACTCTCTTGCAGAGTTTCAGAAATTCAGTGCGATCAGAAGTATGCTCTGCAGAACAGCGAAAACAGTGCACTCAAAACAAAGACAGCGCCACCAAGTTCGTGCAAAAAATCCTAGCAATTATTTACTCTTACTCTCTCTCGCTTAGTGGACTTCAATTCTATTTTATTAGTTGAAATAGGAAAAGAAACATTCCCCTGATATTGTTCTATGCTATTTTCTTTTTCCCTGAATCACGAGTAATTAGAATTAAGCAAGATTTTCAAATTAAAGGTGAATTTAACAAGTCCCCACTATAATTAAGAAAAGCAAAAACTTTAGAAATGGGTAGCAAATGGTGCAGCAGCGACCCACATATTCAAATTCGAAAAACTAGAGATAACACGTAGAATATGAAATAAAATAAATTACCAATGAGGTTGGCTAGGTGCACGGTGAGCTTAGGCTTGAGAATTGGAATGACAGATTCTGGCTCTAATCGGATCACCTCTTTCTTATTATTCTTTCTTGTCTCCGCCATTTTTTTCCCTCTTTCTGCTCTTGTTATTTATTTACCTGAATGCATCCACAAAGTGAAAATATAAAGATTTGGGAAATAAGGGTTTTGAAATCTTGAATTGAATGATTAAAAGAGCGGACGAGGTGCGAGCAAGAGTCCAAGGCAGATTATTCTAATATAAAAAGACAATAAAAAGCATAAACCATTACATTCTCGGAACTCCCAAATCTCACCTCTGTCCTTTCACCTGTTTTTCATTTCAACCGCATATCTTTCACTCGCTCTCTGTCTTTACAACCGGTACTTCCATTCAATTTATTTTGCGACACCCATTTTGAAGAAAAGACAAATTCTGAAATAGTGATTGATGAAAGAATGTATGGTTAAAAAATAATGATAATTTTTTGATTTATGTGTAGTATTATTTTATTAATAGAATGTGTGGTTGAAATGAAAAAAGAGAAAAAAAATGAGAATGAGAACGTGAAAAAATGGGTGTCAAACAGGGGACAAACTATAAAATCATATTTCATCCATGGTCGCTTAAGTTTCAACAAAATCCCAATTCAATCATTAAAATTTTAGTTTATCTAATTCGGATAGATCAACTTCAATTTAATTTCAAATTTAACCATTCCATTCGGACCCCACCCCATCCCATGTTGCACAACAACAATCAAGTCATTAAATTTTAATTTATCTAGGTAAATAAAAAAAACTTCAATTTAGCTCGTGTTTGAATCTAATTTTGAGGAGAATAGAAATTTTGGAATAGTGATTGATGTGAGAATGTGTGATGAAAAAGTGATGAAAAGTTTTTTATTTGTATGTAATATTATTTTATTTGAAATTTGAATAATGTGTGGTTGAAATGAAAAATGAGAATGAAAAATTAACGGGTGTCAAACGGGGGCTTAATTTCAAATTTTACAGCTCTTGACACATTTTTCTCAAAGGGAAACATAATCTATTGACATCCGACCTGAGACCTAATTAAGTCTGTTTGTAAGGTCAGCTAGTACTTATGACATCTGTGGTTTGAGGGGACATGATGATTGTAGATTCCTTACACACTGTCAAAATATTCAATCAATTAATGACATTTGGAAGGACAACCGTCAACGCCCACCAATTCCACCAATCATACGCTATAGCTTCATTCTCTAATTAGTTCATTAATTACTAAGGACCCCACTTAAGGTGATTTCATGATAATTTGATGGAACCGACTCAACAACCAATTATGATATGCCATTAACGTACATTCCCAACTCAGTACTATATATTGATTTGACAACAACCACTTAGAACTTAAGTCATTGGTACAAGTTCTCAACTCGATATTATTGTTGACAAGACATGAATATGAAAGATACAGATCCATCATTTTCTATAAAAGGAAATGAGGGAGAGGAAGTCTAACAATTTCATATTTCAAATATCTCTTTTGATAAAAACACTTGTAATTTGTAAATAATTATCAATAAAAATCATTATTTACACTTGAAGTTGATTTGAATTTTGTTTATACAATTTTCGACATCAACATAATCCACGTACCAAATCTTTTTTTTTTTTCTTGTATATTTAAGTTATTAAATTTAAATTCTATTAAAAATAAAAAAAATAAGTAAATGAGATGGATAATAAACTATTTAAATCCCCACCTCCTCTCCTGCCTCCCAATAATTGTGAATAGACAACGCTCGTTGCTAACTCTAATTTTATCACATGTCATCCTTTAAATTGATGAAATTGCTTAGTCGACGACCATATCATTTACATGTAACATAAAAATAATTAAAATGAGAGAGGTAAATTGGAATATTTAAATCCCTGCCTCCCGGAGGCTCATTGCCAACTTTGATTTTTCACACGTCATCTTTCAAAATCGTGAAATTGCTTTGCCAAAAGCTATATTGTAACTGATCTTTCAAGTACACTAGACATAAAAAAATATTAAAATAAAAATGATGACAGTGCCAACTTTGAATTTTCACGTCATTTTTTATTTGATTAGTTACTAAACATTTGATTCTTTGCTTATTTGTTGGGCAATTTTATTTATACTTTAAATTTATCTATTAAGATTTAAACTTGCTGTTAGATTCAAATTTTTGGGCAAAAATTGAATTATAAAACTAGTAAAATCAGCGTGTTCCATGCGGTGAGGAAGGGGAAGGGGAGGTAAGTTCTCCTCTCTTTTTTTGTTGAAATTTAATTTCTTGACTTTGGACTTGAAGTTGTGTTTTAATGCAATTATGTGCACAGCTATTTAAGATCTCTCTTGATGTCAAACAGCTGGTTGACTTACAAATTTTCATCATCGAAAATCATACATAAGTACGAGAAGACCGTGAAATGAAATTGTTTCCTCATTGTCTTGAACTGTCTTTATGAATTTGTGTGTAAGTTAGATTATTAGTTTGTACGATTCAAAATAATGGAATATTAGTTTCTAATAAATGTTCACGAGATCTTTGTGTTGAGCTATTGAATAAGTTTTTGAGGTTCTAATGTTAGAAAAGGTTTTTTTTTTTTAATTAAAGGAGGGCTGTACTTCCGAAATTTTATTAATATACACTCATTTGTGGTGGAGGAATACCGTGATTACATGAAAATAATAAAAGCAATAAAAAATGAAGTACTATTTGTCTTTCAATGCAAATAAATGACTAAGAAAAACTGTAAATCAGTAAACAAGGAAGTAATACTTCATTTACAATAAGAACTAATGCAAATAAAGACAACAATAATAATTGAAAGTAAAAATAAATTTGAAACTCTGATATTGGGCAATCCATGTCTGTCAACTTGTACTAGTACCCCTAATATGTCATGGTAAGTGAAGTGGTTCTTGTATTTGATATCGTCGATGATTACAAACCTCTGCAACAAGAGCATCTGCAACATGATTTCCTTCTTTGTAAATGTGGGAAACTGTTTTTCTGTCGAAGGATATGATGTTTGTGATATGTCTGAGTATACCATGAATAGCCCACGATACTTCTCCTCTAGTAATGTAGTGAATAGCCATTGTAGAATCTGACTCAACCCAAATAGCTGAAAGACCGAGTCTTTTAGCTAGTAAAACTCATCAAGAATAGCCCGGAGCTCTACCTCTAATATCATGCACGGTCTATACGAAATCGAGAAAGCCTTGATACAGTGTCTTGCGTGATCTCTGATGATGTCTTCCCGCTTGCAATACCATCCTTGACACATCCATCAGTATTGATCATGACAGATCCGACTAATGGAGAGCACCAGCAAACCAGAATAGGGGGAGATGAGGAAGTGGGGTCCATATAAATACCAAAGATGGGTGCAAGTGTCAAATCCTCGCACCAATGCACATCTCGAAACAGTCCTTCCATATGAACAAAAGAGACTGTGCGATAGACCCTCCAAATGATACGTCTGGCTACCATGCTAACCCCCTATACTTCACATCATTCCTCTCGGTCCATAGAAATCAAAATATCAGTAGAGGAATGATAGTGCGAATGTGTCCACAACGAACATACTGTCTAGAATACCTCAATCTCTGAAATCTCTGTCTGACTCTCTCTTCTGAACTCATAGATATCTGAAAAAATCCCCAAAATATTGCCATACCTAATCGGAGATGCTACGCCTGTGAAAATATGACCGATAGTCTCAGTCTCGGAACAACATTGGTAGCGAAAAGCCAACTGGCATCCAATCCTCGACTGAATAACCATATCTACTGGAATGAGGTCCTGCCATAAACTAAGCATGAAAAGTGACAGTTACCTCGTATGAGAACACATCCAATAGATTTTCCAACTCAAATATTTCCTGAGGAGCAGAAATTACATCAGCCAATAAGTTATGGCCATGAGCAGACCTAGAGGGGGGTCCTGGGGGGTTACGTGACCCCCAAACTTTTGAGATTTTTTTTGATAAAGTCATATTGGGTATCAATTGAAATCTAAATTTTAATATAAATCAAAGTTAACAATTAATTTTAATAACATATTTCATGGAATTCATAACTATTTAACTTTTATTAAAATTTACTAAAAATTTGATTTTAATCTCTATTAAATGGGGGCAAAATCACAATAAATTTGAATTTTTCTATTTTCTCTTGCTCTTTTTTACTCTTTTCTTTACGCCTTTTAATAAAATCTTAACCCTTCTAATTTTTTAAAATTTGTATATAATTTCTCTACAAATTATCACATTTACTACAAATCTTCACTTTTCAAGTAATTAGAACCTAAGTTTGCATTTTCTCCTATCAAACTGTGTATATAGAATGTGTCTAAACTCATTATATCCAATTTGACTTATATTTAATGAATTGTGTTTATTTGATTGATTGTTAATATTGAATATTTGTTATACGTTTTTCCTTTCGATTATTTGAATTGATTGTTTGTATCAAATCCACTATAAGATTTTTAAAAGTAAATATGCATTTTTTTGTGATGAACAAAATATTAATAAATACATTATAAGATTTTTAAATGTAAATATGCATTTTCTGGTGATGAACAAAACATTAATAAAATGACCCTTCAAAATCAAATGGATGAAAATGATTAGCAAAATATTAATCAAGAAATGTTTTTTTAAATGTAAATCTGCATTACTTCAAATCAAGTATGAATTATTTAAGAATCAAGAACAAAGTATTATATTTCTACAGGGTTTGATTATGCTCCATAACCTAAAATGTTTGCGTCCGCCCCTTGCCATGAGCACCTGCCTCTATAAACGGAATTAAGTTTCTTTGAGCAATGCCAATTTGCTCCTTCATGGAAACAACAATCAATCATTTTCTTGTTATCCCACTCAAGAAAGATTTTGGCTCTCATGATCAGATCATATCAGTGGTGATCCTATATTCTTCAATTTTACACAGAATAGTTGGCGAGAAGAACAGCCAACAAAGCTGGCAGCAATTAACCACTTTTTCCGTTGACTGGTGGCCATTATAACCAAAATAAGTATTTCACGAGAAAGCCCAAGATAACATTTTCTGCTGAGAA